CTCTCTCTCTGTCTCCCTCTGTCTCTTCAGCCCTCTGTGTCCAAACCGTGAGGCTCTGTGTTTCACTGTAGTGCTCTGTCCTTGTGTTTGTGTTTCACAGGATACAAAAATGCCACCGGTATCCTGCGCAGCCGCCACTACCGGCGCGGTGTGATGATCTGGGCGTGAGCCTGAGCTCCTCAAGAACTTCCGGGTTGAGAATGTACCAGGTTCCAATCCACCTGAAGGCTCTCAAAGAAAGCTCTCGTTCTGATCACATCATGAGTCCTGGTTCCTCTCAGGAACCTCCGAGGAGGAGCAAGATGAAGCAAGTCAGGCAGAAGCAACAAGCAGAGCAGACCTACACCGTGTCACGCATTCGCTCATTCCCCATGGACGCGGACCATGTGACTTTGAGTTTGATTTTCTTTGCATTTGTCTGGGCTCTCCACCTGCACCACAGATGATTTCTCGTCCAGAAGGGTATCCACCCAAGGCATCTACGGTAAATGGGAAGTTGGACTCAAACATGCACTGACCTGGCTTGCTCCCTACAACCAAGTCCGCGTTTGGCCTTCGTTCACTCAGTTGATGCTGGTGCCAGCTACAAGCTCAATAACATCCGCTTCTAGAGACCGAGAGCATCTCAAGCACTTCAGCCAAGATGCCCGCCGTTGCAACATCCATAGCGTAGCGTTCAGGGTCCAGCTTAAGCCATGGGACCAGCCATGAATGAGACGGCCGTGTCTCCCTGTCCAGCCGTTTCGGACCCTACTAGAAAATGGATGGAGCAGTGCGTTCCCTCGCCCTCACTTTGACTCCAGGTCGGCTATATCCGCTTCTTTGGTGAGCGGTATGGCTTGGTCCTCGTTCTCCTGACTATCCATCACGGGCATGCAAAGCGCTCTCTCGTTTCGGTTGCACCGCTAAGGTGTCGGCCCCACGAGGCAGTCGTATCCGTCCGCAGCTTGGACAACGCTTCAAGCCAGGACCTCCCGGAGCTCAGAACTGAACCAAGGGAGCTCGACAACACCGGCATCCGTTATCCCCCTCCCGCCAGGGCCGTAAGTTCGTCCAGGCAGGTCGCTTGCTCAATGCGCTTCCTCTTCCAGGTGTCGGAACAGGGGCAGTTTGAGATCAACGACACCATCCTGGTCCCTGATCTTCTGGGACCTGAGGCTTTTCCAACACATCCTGAGAACTTGCGCTCCTGATCTTTTCAGCACCTGACAGGAAGAAGCCAGGCAGATGATCTACTTGGCAGAGGCACCCGATCGCCCGATGGAAACAGCCCTGGGCCTTCGCGCGGTTTCATTCCAGGGGTTTCGGGTATTGTAGCATTGTAGCATTTTATTCTTGCATGTCATAGCACATCATGTCATCTTATGGTATTTTGTGGTGTTTTTTTTTGACTGTCGTGCGTTGTAGTATGTTCTAGCATATTATAGTGTACTACGGTATCTTCTAGTATTGTTGGTTCTTTACAGTGTATTATTCTGTATTATGCTCTCATAGAGCTTCGTAATATTGGAAAGAACAATAATCGGCTTATCCTGGATACATATCTGAACGCCCAGAACGTCTTTTGGAAAGACAGCAGCAAGAAATAGCCCGCCGCCGCGATAGCTTGATGCACACAGCCTGCCTGACAGCCGTTACCAGTATCAACCACGAAAGCTACGTACAAACCAAGCTACTCCTGCAAATTCCCTATGTCCCTATGTGACTCTTGAGATAGTTGTTAACTCATTGTTGAGGAGGCTTGCACAACACACACGCCGGTGATGAGTCATGAAGTCGTCTTCTCGTCCTTTGTCTGGTCTCCTTCTTCCGTGCAGGGCCACAGTTACACCGTGCGATTGGCCGATATCGCGGCCCCAGCCAACTCGACATGCTCCTCGGATGAAGGGAGATCAGGGTGCAGATTGGTGCGAACTTCATGCAGTGAGTGTCCGCGAGTGCGTTTGCCTCGGATCCGGTACTTGTGACTCTTTTCTCAATACTATACCATACTATGCTCTGTTATGCTGTACTATACTATACTATAGAGTAGACCAGAGCAGTCTTTGGATCTGGACCTGTTGCTATACATGCTCGAGGTGGTGATCAAAACGTCACTCTTCTGGATCCATCGCTCTGGGAGTTGGCTCAAGCCTCACCATGTTTTGCCTCCAGAGAAATCCCTCGAGCTTCGGGCGTGGGCTGAGGTCCCGAGTGAAGTTGGTGGCCCCTGGACGTCGTGAGCAGATCTTCGCCGTCACCTTGCCAAACACCCTCAGAACAGAGCCCGCCTGCGGTTTCACACGTCTCATGCCAAAGGTGCATAGTCCTCCGCCAGTGGTGGAGCAGCTAATGAGTGGTTGGTGAGAGCACGGATGTCAGCGTGAAACGTCAGCAGCTGAAGATGGACGGAGCCTGGATCCGCTGAGCTGGTGCTCTCATGCAATTTCTTGTCGAGCTTTTCCGAGGGTTGTACCATCCTCTCAGACTCGTATCAAGGCACGGAGAAAGTCGATGTCACATCGATTTATTAGTTTTTATATCTAGTGTTTGGGAAGATGCTGGGATATATATATATACATACATACATACATACATACATACATACATACATACATACATACATACATGTGCGTGCACAGCAGATGTGTTCAGATGAGCATGAACACGGGTAGCGACATACACACCGATAGAGACAAATAAGGCATAAGAGCTTTCTGTCAGCTTTTGTGCCTGCTTATTGCCCAGTCGCGATTTTTGCAAGCAGCCAGTCATGCTGCCTGTCTTCACGCCGAATTCGCTGTAATCGTGATTGTCTCGCGACCGAGGCAACGCTGGACCCGAGACGCGGGCAGTAGAGGATGTCTTTGGACTTCATGCGCTCGGAGGTGGTTCTGTGCATGTCTGTGCCAGTGGCCACCGGTCCAAACCCGGAGCGTGAAGGCGTTCTCTGTAGTGTGCGCAGGAGTGGGATGCAAATCAATCACAAGTGGCTCTCTGGCTGCACGTCCAGATTTGTGAGTTGTTTGCGGATTTGCAAGAGCAACGACTGTGCCTTCCGCCCCGCACTAGCCACCTGAACGCGGTATGGGGGCGGGGGGAGGGGGGTGACAACTCCGACAACTCCTGCTTTTAATGTTGTGACTTGGTAAGCTGTCATGTGACTTGAGTTTCTTTGCTGTTAGTGCATGCCACTGTGTACGCCGGAGACTAAAGGTAGTAGGGCTAGGATGCTGAACATGGAACCAGGGTCTCCTTAGAGAGACGATCCATGCTAGGCTTCTGGCCAACGATGCACTCGGGTTGGCTTCCCGCTCGCTCTTACCTTTTAGTTACCGCGCGGTTACGAGTACTGAAGCACAGCCACCCGAGCTCTCCCATCCTACTGTGACGCCCGGACAGGGGCGCAGACAGCAGGGGCGAAGATGGCTTAGGGGGGCCAAAGCTCAAGTGGGGATGTTGGAATGTGCAGACGTTACACTCATATTTACATGGTACAATCTCAGGGGAGCTGCTATCAATGGGAAGGACCCAACCAAGACTGACGACTTATGTTTGGAACTCAAGACACACAATATTAGCTTATGTGCTATCTCGGAGCATAGGTGGAAGGCGAAGAACAAATCATGGTGGATGATGACTGGCTGTTTCTTTTCCTTGGTCTTGATGCTGACGCAGCGAAGGCTGTGCAGGGTCTCTTGTTGAATCGTGATATGCAAAAAGAGTGGAAAGATGCGGACCAGTTATGTGAATATGATGATGGTAGTTTTTTGATGATGCAACCCACTTGGGCTCAAGTCCCCACGGAACAAAAAGTGCTCCGCAAGGTTGACTTGACGGAGCATAGCTGCTGGTAGCTGTGATACCTGAAACTTCAAGTTTTGCACTCAGGCGAATTCTACAGCAAAAAGGTCTGGTGCCCGTCGCCCAGTGCACACTCCAGTCTGTTGCAGAGGAATTTGACCGGAGTAGTAGTAGAGTAGTGGAGTCGGGAATAGAGTGCAGGTATCTGTTAGGGTTCGCAGGCCAAGATGGCCGACTGGACGTGGAGGACCGAGGAGGAGTCGCCCTTCTGAGCAGGGCGGACTGAGTGCAGGTTTTGTTTGAATTTTTTGTGCAAGGTCGAGATGTGAAACTTTTCAGTCAAACGGTGCTTTCCGAATTCGGCCCTGAGTGTCCCGTGGACCCATAGGCGTGGGAAAGCTGTACCGGGATGGGCTTTCTCAACCTGCCACTGTCTCAACAAGCCTCAGAGGATGTGTCCGGTCAAAGTAGCATTTGCGGCTGGATGTGCGAAGAGCGCTCAGCTGGCCAGCACTCAGCAAAAACGTCGCAAGAAAGGTGGCAGATAGTCTGGCTGGATCTCTGCTCATGTCAGGGAGACTATGGCTTTCGGGATTCAGGAGTTCCTATGGCAGGCTCAAATGAGACATGCGTAATGACGGGTCTTCAATCCACTCCGAGCAGCTACGGCTATCCGACGAGCTTGAAACTCCAGCCTATGTCTCGCTTTTCTGACTGACCCTTACATGCAGCTGTGAAGAATTCCCCACTACCTTGTTGAGAAACAATTAAATTCGGGCCAGTCTCGGATGCCGCACGATGGTCTGAGACGTGGGGCCTGAGCCAATCGCGCACCCAGCATGGAATGCGCCGGGCCTGCACGGACTTAAGTATGGTGTAGGTTTTGGGGGTAGACTTCGTTTTTCGCAAGCGCTTCCCCCATTCGCTCGGAAGGCAGAGTTCCTCGACTGGATTTGAGGATGAAACTTGTAAGGCAGGCCCACCATAGCTCACAATTCTGAGTAAGAAAGGACACGGGCAATCTGGTGGGATGTTTGGCAGCCTTAGCCAGGACTTTGCGCAGAGTATTGGTTTTGGGCATTTCGGGCAGCTATACAACAAGCTGCGATTGCCCTGATCACGAAGCCCACGAAGCTTCGTGCCAAGGCCTCACAGAGGATCCTACGCACCTCGGCATCGCAATATATCGCAGTGTTTCTTTCGACACTAGCCAGGATTCCTGACTGTTTTTGGTGCATTTGCTTGCAATTCGAGGGATGATTGCGACATGGCGCAGCTGGTGGGGTATTTGGTTGTCCCCTCAGCACCGTCCCATCCGTTGCTCCAGTTGGTCATGCAGCAGCATGTGTGCTCTGGTCTTTGGCTATGTCTTCATGGATTCTACATCAGTCCTGCTCAAACGGGCAATCTCAGAAGGCCGTGTAAGGCGGCGAAATTCTCGATCTGCGCAGCCTCTTTAACTGGCTTCAGAGTCCGTCCCGGACCATCCATTTATCGTCGAGTAACAGTAAGCAGTCTGCACTCGTCTTCCAGGCTTGTTGATGTTCGGGCCGCGAGTCATGCGCACATCGACAGAGTTTGTGAAGATATGTGAGTATCAAACCTAAGGCTGGCCTTCTCTGTGGCGTCTTCATTTGCAGCTGTGCTTCTCGCCTGAACAGTCATTGGGCGTTCCCCACGCGCTGTGCAGACCGAGACGAGCTGAAAGCTGATGCAAGCACCCAGCCAGTCTTGTGTGTGTGTGTGTGTGCGTGCTTGTCAAAAGTTAGGTTGACATGTATGCAGCTAGCAACCCGAAGGGTGACAAGATCGCGACGAAAGCTTCCATAGTACTCTCGTCCCCCAAGTGCCTCAAGTCTATTTGTGATGTCTCGGGGCAAGTCATGTCCAGTGGGTGATGACATGTATGGCACAGCTTAAAGGCGTAAGAACGAGATAGTGTCTGATGCTGGCATGTTGCATCGAACTGATGATGGAACCCATATCGAGGCGATGCTATGTCAAGACTTGCAGCCCGATGTCACAGACAGGCAGATGAAAGTTACATGGCAACACTTCATGGAACAAGAGGCGAAATGTGAAGCTGGTCTGGGTCCCGTTGCAGATCAGAGCACTCTGGATCGGCTAGATCACCCCTTTCCGGAGTTGAGACTGTGAAGCAGCACATTGAGACCGTGGAAGGCTGGTAATGGGAAGGAGCCAAACAGCGGGGTGAGAACAAAAAAATTCGCCGGCCACACATTTGTCACTCCGGGTGCTCGAGGAGAGGATGATCCTAGCAGCCCGCCCGCCCGCCCGCCCGCACGGATGCACGCATGCACAGCCAATCCTCAACACCCAGTGCAACATGGCTTGCAACCAGGATTTTAAGTGCACATCGGAATGACTGTGGGTGATTTTTCATTAATTTGCACGCAGCATAATGTCGCCGTTTTTCGGATCCTTCAGTAGGTCATTGGTCAGCGGTAGTGTGGCGAGTGGGTACGTAAGCGCGCATCTCCCATATGCCACCTGTGCACTTCCGCACATGCATGCATGCGCTGTCTTGAGGAACGGATAGGCGGACAGGTTGACGGCTAGAGATAGATGGATGGAGACTTGAAGTCGAAGAGCGATACCGACAGCACCGTGGACACAAGGAGGATCGTCAAGTCGTAACTGTTGTAACTGTCTATGTGGTCTTCCAGGTTCTGTCCGGCTGCCTCTTTTATTGCCGCTCAGCTTGCAATGTGCCGTGTGCGAAGCACTAGAACTGGTTCGCTAGCTTGTTTCAATTCTGTTTGCGAAACGCAGTAAATCGTCATGGCCTGCACGAAAGCATGCATCGGCTTCGGCACAAGTGCTTTGGCCACCTTCTAGAGGGGTTAATTTTCTGAGTTGTACACCTTGATGGCGATGATACGATCCTTGACAAGCTCGCTTCTAGGGCCATAAGTCCTCGGTAAAGTCGTTGAAACACAGGCCGCTGGAAGATGCGAACGCCTGATGTGGGAGCCGGGAACTCAGTCCTGGGCCACCATTGTGCAAGGTACTCTGCCACCCTCTGGCAATGCTGCGAAAGCCTTGGCTAGAAGGCCACCGCAACTAACGGCTTTCTTGTATCGTGCGATACGCTTTACATCTGTTTCGGAGTTGCGAACGCTTTGCAAACACAAGAGCAGATTGAACGAAAGGCAGTGATATTCAGCCAACCTGAGGTACGCCTAGGTTCAGTGTTTCAGGGTCTTGCGGACCCTTAGCCGCACAGGTCGGAGGTCATCCAGTGAGCATTGCAAACAGAGCCCCAGATTGATGTGCCGATGGCAACACTGCGGTCTAGGAGAGTTTCGGGTTGCAGTTGAGGCACGAGCTGAATGAGTGACTGCGAGTGGGGCTTGGCCTTGCGATTCTTTGCAACGTCTGAGGCCATCACCATGAGAACTTCGGAGGGCAGAACACAGGACGCCAAACGCTGCACTGATTGGATTGCCTGGCTGAACGGTGGTGATGGTTTGTCAAACAGCTGCTATGCTGCTTGCACTTGGCTGCTGGAGGTGTCGGTGCCCAGACTTTGCGACGATTTTCGTTTCTTTTGAAGTCTGGCTTAGTAGGATAGTAGGTATGATATTACACGATATGATAAGATGTGATACGATATGGTACGGTACGTTGTGATATGATAGTATGAATGATATGGCATGGTGTGGTATGGTGTGGTTTGGTCTGGTATGGCGTGGCATGTTATGGTCGGGTATGGCATTGCACCGCATGGGATGGCACGGCACGGGATGGCATGGCGTGGGATGGCCTGGCATGCGATGGCGTGGCGTGGGATGGCGTGGCGTGGGATGGCGTAGCATGGCATGCCACGGCATGCCACGGAATGGTGTATAGTATGCCCTAAGAAGTCCTGTCAGGATTGATGGCGACACGCTTGCAAACGCACCTCTGCTCCCTCGCAATTACGTGTATTGTAATACTATTTGTTTGATTAATGTTGTTGCGTTGCCAAGCCAGGACGTCAAGTTCCAGATCTGGAAAGCTAAACCAGGTTGGGGCTTTTTCTGTGCACGATGGCAGCTGACACTTAGGTTTTCAGTTCTTGAGCCTCATCTGTTGCTGCTTCCACATGTGGGGGCTTTACCCTTTGTCCGGCCAGGTGCCTCTGCCTCCGAACAGGCCCGCTGGCAAAGTACTGCCATTTGTTTTCATACTAGTATGGGGAACAGTTTCGGGGTTGAGTCGCCTCTTTTGTGAAGATTGCCGTGCTCTCTCCACACACCCGCTGTGCCTTTTGTTAGTAGACGAACAAGACAGAACATGTCCAATGTGGATTGCCTTTGGACCAAGAATGTACTTCTCGATGCTGTTTCCAAGGTTTTGCATCCGCACAAGGTTACGCACGACCAAACCAAAACCCTAAACCGCGTCGTGGCATTGATGTGTCATGCCAGCCCCAACATCTTAAGCGCAGACATGGACACGATGCCCTTGAAGGCGACTGGGTAGTGGGAAGACCCTGCCGGCTCAAGAAGTGTGACAAACGTATTACGTTGTTTGGTTCACTTGCTATGGTAGCTATAGCACTGTATACGAGCTGAAAGGGTAAGGCTGTAAAATGCTGTAAAGGTATTCTGTTTCCGCTTGCAGTGATTGTAGAGTTTCAAGAAATGCAAACTTGATGTTGAGAAAGAGGAGGCTCCTTTTGAAGTCACGGGGATTGGTGCTTCTTTAGATCGGCGGACGAAGGACTTTCTGCGATGTCTGTGTGTGTAGTTTGGATCGGGGTTCAACCGGTATGAACTCGGATGACTTCTAACCCAAAATCTGCCAACACCCCCAACATTTTTGTAAAAACTCTTCAGGTCTCAGAGCCAACCTCTGGCCAGGACCAACCCAAGGTGGGCAAGACAACTTCCTTGCGGTCGTCCACAAGTTGCCCTGCTCGAAGTTGGAAAAACCCCTCTTCAACTTCTGGCTCTCAGTCTAAGGATATCGGACATTGAAATTATCTACACTTCCTGTGGTTCCTGGTCCCTGTTTGTATCCAAATCTCTATCTATTTATCTATCTGTCTGTCTGTCTTTGTATCTATCAATCTATATATATATATCTACCTGTCTATCTATCAATCAATCTATCTGTCTATGTATATATCTATCTATTTATCCATTTATCTATTTATCTATCTATCTATCTATCTATCTATTTATCTATTTAATTTATCTCTCTGTCTCTATCTCTCTATTCGCTATCTCCCTATCTCCCTATCTCTCTCTCTCTCTCTCTCTCTCTCTCTCTCCCTTCAAAGCACCACCTTTGCCCCTCGCACACCGAGGCAGCAAGTCCCAGGCCGTCCTCAAGGGGCTTTTTCTCTGGGGCCGAACCGGAGCCTCAAGCGCTCGCTCTTCCGTCCTTGTGCTCTTGCAGTGGGGACATGAGGGTTATTGAGGCCTGTTTCGGTATTGTGAAGGGTACTGCAAGGAATATGGGTGGCAGGATCTTATGGGGGGCTTGAGCCCCTGTTTCCCCGCGGCATCGTGCAGGGGAAGACCGTCGTGACTTGGAACGTAGACGCGCGGCAGACCGCTGGGCGGAGCTTCATGTCCACAGGAAAGGCCCGCGGGTGCTGCCTTGTGGTTATCGCGGAAGTAATCGCACCTCGAAGCCAGTAATCTCCTCAAACTGATGAGCGTAATTATGCCGGTGTTCTTGTTTCTGTTTGTTCATGTTGCCTGCATGAATGCGTGCATGTATGCTTGCATGCATGGGTGCAGGCAGTAGGCAGGCAGGTAGGTCGGTAGGTAGAGGTAGGTAGGTATCTACGGTAGGTAGGGGTAGGGGCAGGCGTGGGGCAGGCGTGGGGCAGGCAGGCAGGCAGGCAAGCAGAGAGCCTGTGCTCCCTGTACATTCAAGTTTGTCACCATGTGTTCCGCAACAAAACCCAAGGCCACCTTCAACGCGAATTGCACCTGGGGAGCGAAAAACCTTCGCCAGTGCCTTTTTCGCAAGTGTTGTGGTGCGGATGGAAGCCCCGATGTGGGCAGCGGAGCCCCAGCAGGCCTACAAGGAGCTATGTTAATTGCGGTCTTACCGACCGACGCAGTTGACGACAAGACGAAGTCGTCAACTTCTTCACTGAAATCCTCACGAAGTTCCCGTTGTGCCCCGCATGGGAGACTTCCATTCCGGACATTGTCCAAAGTGATGTTGATATGCTCCTTGGGACACTGATACGTTCGAGGTGATCAAACAAGCCCTACAGCGACACGGGGAATGGCTGACCCCGGTCGTGTTACGTGTAAGGTGTGGGGGTGCTGGGCGTAGGGCCTTCCGTGAATGAGGTCAGTACCATTGATTGGACCGCGTTGGTCCAAAAGTGTACAGACCATTTTGCGACCCCTGAATCGTCCCTGTATACATTGGACGCCTCCTGCGGACCATTTTGTGACCCCTGACTCGTCCCTGTATGCAGTGGACGCCTGTTGGAACGGAGAGGGGGAGGCGTCCAGGGGGGGAACCGAGAAGCCACAACCGCTCCCTTGGCCTTTGTGAAAGGCTTTGATTCTTACAACCGGTTCCGCTGCTTTGCAGTCGATCTGAATTTGATATGACACGACATGCAATGGTATGGTCTGGTGGTGCGGTATGGCATCGTGTGGTATGACATGATATGATATGGTATGATTTGGTATGATCGGTTATGGTATGATGTGGTAAGATGTGGTATGATATGCAGTGGTATGGCATGGCATGGCATGGTATGGCATGGCAGGGGTATGGCAGGGGTATGGCAGGGAACAGTTTTCACTGACAACGCAGCAGGTCAAGATGACTGCGAACGCTCCAGAAAAGGACAGTTGTAAGGAAGTTTCGGACTTTTCATATCGACAACAGGATGACGGTTTGATGCAACATTGTGTGCGGACCGCATGTTTGTTTAGTGCCAGAAGGCTGAGCCTCGCCTTTCCAGGAGAAGCTGCGGAAACAGGCGACCCAGATGACGAACAATCCAAATCTGGTGCGCCCTGCCCCGTGTTTCACTTTTGACCTGCGTGAATGGATGCCTGAGTTGCCAGGTCGCCCTCAACAGCCCAAAAGAATCCTGACCACTGTACGAAGGAACCACCATGTTTCGGCCCTGCAAGAAGCGTTCACACTAAACTCTGTCAAAGACCATAACCCTAAATCTTTATAGCCTTAGGAGCCAGGCCTTCGATCCGGACAGATTCGCGTAAGCAAAGAAGCAGATTCCTGGGAGGTGGCCCAGGGAACGCTGAGATCCATCTCTTCCTTCCCGACCATGCCGACCGGGACCGGAGCCCCGGAGAAGAATCTTGAGCAGTTGGGCGGGGGTCAATACAGGCCTTCAGTCCGTCCGTCTGTTACTCACTCGACCGCCTTTGGGGCCTCGGAGGTATGTTCAAGGCCCCTTGGGATGGATCCTGCGCTGGCTTTTGCTCCTGCTGACGAAGTCATGCAAGATTCTGGCAAGAATCAGACGATCAGTCTGCACGTGTCCAGACTCGTGTCCCGCCTCGTACGGAAGGTCCGGCTCGCCTTCGCCGCGAGAGCCCGAGAAGGCCGACTGATTGAAGTTTTTTTGGTGAGGTATGCATTCTAAACTTAAATTGTCTGCCACAAGTTCCGTTTAGCCTAGATTACCTTGTATCCTTGATGTTATGCATTTTCGGGGGACACGGTGTGGTGAAGGGGATGTAGCCCAGTAGCAGCAGCAGCTAGCAGGGAGGCAATCCCAAGGCCTCTGATTCAGGAGTTTCATCCGAGGAACACACTGTCACCAGATCACGCTTTCCGTGCAGTCCCCTGCCCGAATCATGCGCACCAAGCACCGACTTTGAGAGGCAGTTGAAGAGACTGCCGAAAAGGCGCTGCTTGCAGCCTGCGATGCCTGCAACTTTCGGGGTTCGAAGGGGCTCCGGGGAAATCGCCCTTTTTCTTGGCAGGCACCGAGCCGGTGGAAGGAGCGAGCCAAGAGCCTTCGGCTGAGAGAAGCGACGCTTCGTTTCCCGCTCCCTCTCGGGGGTTTTGAAGGCCGTGGGGGCCGTGGGGGCGCTGGATTCTCCCGGACCGGAGGCCTCGCGAAGTCGCTGACCGGTCTCTCCATGTCGGTCCGGCAGGACGGGAAGAGCGCTTCAACCCTGAAATCGGGCCTCAAACTATGGAGTTGCGGTCGGTGAGTGTGTGTGTGTGTGGACCTCTGTTACCAAGAGGTAATGTCAGTTGCGGTTTTGCAGGGGGCCATTCCACCTGC